ATAATCATTTCGTACCTTGTGTTTGTTGTCTCGTTTCAGCAAGTTTCAGCACTGTTTAAAATTTGAGAAAAAATAACAACTTTCAATGGATCGTTTATCCTCGTCACTGTCAGCGTCACCTAGTACCTCCGACTGTTCATCACGAAGCGAGAGCCGAAGCGAGAGCGGAAGCGATGGAGAAACTGAAACTGGTAAGTTTTGAATGAAGTTTTTGCTAAGGTAACTGATTGCGATGTTGGTATGGTTCTGCTAATAGGGCTCTGAAATCTTTAAGTCGTTTTAACAGCCCGGGCCGTGAAGGACACCCATCTGAAAAATTCCAGTTCTCAGCTCACTACAACCACTGTATTACTGTATTCAAACCTTCAAACCGATCAACGAGAAGATTCCGTTAGTATGATCCGAAATAGGAAGAAGGGAATAGTAAGAAATTTGTAAGGGAAATATCAGTCATTTACCTGACGATTTTGTCCGGTGTCTCAATAATTAGTTTTATGCCGTACATATAAGTACGATGACGAAAATAGCCTGCGAACGTCTGCCGTTCGAGGGTTACATGTATGACGAAAAAAATTCGCAAAAAATTGCATCACTTCCGATTCCCCCCAAATTTGGCCCAGCCTAGTTCCAGCCCCCGGGGAGTTTTGAGCTTCACGTCACGATTTTTCAAAATTTGAGAAAATGGCCCCGAGACGGGAGATTTACTTGTCGGGAATATGTGCCTTTTTTTTCGAAGAATGAAAGCTTGCATCGACGAATTTCAACCAAATACAAGTCAAATTATTTTGAAGGATTCTGGAGGATAACAAGCAAAACGAACACGAAAATCGAGGTAAGAAAACAGTTTGAATCTTGCGTGCGGATCGCCGTTTCGTCTAAGTCTGCAGCACAAGTTGTTGAAACGCAATGAATTCCTTCCCGCTTGGCCTTCGCTTAGCTTTTTGCCTTCAAATCCTTGCTTATTTTTTTGAATTATATCAGCAAATCCATGTTTGCTTGTCTTTAACTCGATAATTCGATGGAAACCTGAGAAAATAAAGCGTCTTTGTAATGTAAACACTTGACATGGCCTCTGATATTTCGCGCGGTCGCGGACCCGTGAAATTCAGGTATTTTCGCGAAATACGGCGAAATACCGCGAGATCCGCCAGAAATGTTTCCAAATACATGTCGGCAAAACATATTTAATACTTATCTTGGCTTTTAGGCCTTTTTTATTCACCCCTAACGTCCAAATTTATCTTGAAACTTCGTCACTGCAACGAGTAGACAACGTCCCAAAACTACCAGGCATTTTAAGATGAACGTTGCGAAAAACTGGGCACTAACCATACTGTTAATAGTTTTAGCATAACTTTAGCATTCGCTCATTTCTCCAGCTAACTGTTGTTGATAGAGCAAATGATTATCCATGTTAAAAAACGTTAAACAACGCTGGTCATATCGACGCAAAATTGATCGATTTTAGCGAAATTTGCCAAAAAAAAATCCAGCGAAATCGGCTGATTTTAACTGATTGTTTCTTGGCGAAGTTTCCCCCGAAATTTCCCGTGAAATCGGCCGATTTTTCTAAGAATTTGCCCCTGAGAATCCTTCGAAATGTGACTTTTTTCGGCTACAATCCCGCGAAATCGGCCGATTTTTCTGCGAATTTTGACTTTTCTCTTGCGAAAACCTCGCGAAATCGGCCGATTTTTCCTCGAATTTTGACTTTTTCCCGCAAAATATATATAATATCAGAAGCCCTGACTTGAGTACGAGGGACGCCGAAGTATAGAATTTCATTATGCTAATTATGATAATCCGATTAGCGTAATCTGATAGCGTCACAAAATAAATTTGTAGAAAATCCCAAGCCGCTCTATATTTCGAACGTTTTTCGCATTGCTTGGCTTAGATATTGAAAAAAACATTTTGTTACTACCATATTAATATTACCATATTATACATTAGGGAACTTAAGAAAGAGACGTTTTCGGGGCGACGGCGACCGGACTGGTAGAGCAAGCCTGGAACAGAGGTTGCCGTCGCTTCCCTCCAAAATTCGAACATTAAGATCGCAGTGAACTCAGGAGGACAGCGCCTTGGAAGACTACCGAAGAGGAAAATATGGCTACGCATAAAGAATTAAGAGAATTAATGCTTATTTGCTTGCATGCAACAACAACAACTTTATTTCAGTATTTCCACGTTAGTACGTGGTATTGCCTTCTATTCTAAACAATTTTCAATACATACGGTTCATTTATACGATACTCTAACCAAAAAAGTGAGCTAAAAACACAATTACAATATCGGAGTTCATACTTTTTGTCTGGACACTTTCTTTTGGCTCGTAGGACAAATTTGTCCACGTAAAGATCACTTACGGTTTGCTGTTTGCCATTTTGGATCAGACTGGATCTTGACTCTGTGACATGAAACATAGAAACATTATAAAGAGGTAAGTTTAGATAAAAGAGCTTGGAGAACGAGCTTGAAATGTGACTTAAAGAAAACAAGGACCTTTTAAGAATGATAATCTGCAAAATTCTGGTTGCTAAGCGCAACAAACCTGATTGAAATGAAAGTTAAATACTCACGTTCTCGCCACAACGCCAGACAGACCAGTTTCACGTCGCCGACGGGAGCACGACGGCAATGTGGAGAGCAAGAGCATGCGCAATAGTGCACAAATCATGACCTCACCTCCGGTTGAAGTTGCCGTCGCCCCGAAAACGTCTCCATCTTAAGTTCCCTATTGTAGCATGAGGAGGTAAGCCTTTTTTGGGCTTAGGGGAGAGAAGACAAGTTTTTAACGGACAGGGCGGGTAAGGGAAAGAGAGGAACAGAACGCTCTTCCTTCAATGTCTCTCCTTTTCGCTTCTCTCTTCCACTTTCTCGATCTCCCCTCCACTACACCTTGTAAAGCCTGATACTTAGGCTACTCCTGCACCTATGAGAGGCTGAGTATAGTAAGATAAGAAATACTTTGTTCTTTTTTATGAACTTTTCGACACAACCAGCTGCAATTAATTATTGCTTTTTCAAGAATAAGGACACTGACAACGGAGGAACAAAAAAAAAAAGCATTCTTGTTTTGAAAGCAAACATTTATAGTTTTTCAAAAGTAGTCATAAAAATGATGGCGAGGTCACAAAAGAACGAGAAGAAACCGAGATACATGGATCTGTAACTCTCTGGCTTTGTCACTCATAAAATGTTGATGGGTGTCGGTATCTGGGACAGGCAAGGAACACTCCCAGACAGATCCGGACCCACAGGAAACCTTAAAATATATAAATCAATCAATCAATCAAGTCAAATAAAACTCTAAAAACCAAAGAGCTAAAATATCATCAATAAATCAATAAATACGTTTTATCTGTAACTGGAAAAATGGAGACTGTCAGATTGGCTAAAATAAGACTAACAACAACTTTATTGACTTTATCTTCTACATGAAGATTTCAGTACCAAAACAATAACAAATGAAAAAAGTAAAATAAAAGTTAAGTAAGAAAGAAAGGAACAATTGAATATTATCATAAAAGAAAAAAATTACTTGGCTATGTACGACTTCTACGCTACTCGTATGGTAAGAAAGTTTAACTAGAGTTCGGATGCACAACAACTTAGAATATTTTCAATATAAGAGACACTGAGATTTAAGATGTTTTGATCGCACATAGACATGATATTTGAAAATAGTGCCTTGCAAGACATATTCGTAAAATTACTGTTATCGAGTATAGGCTCTCCGAGAAGATACCCCTTATATGAGAAAGTGATGAGTGGGTACATTTCAACAAATACTGGAATTCATCACCAATTTCGGATCTATTACAAAGTGGGCAAAGCCTCTCAACTCTGGGTATCTTCTTGTAGCGCCCAGATTCAATAGGTAGCAAGTGGCAAGAAATTCGCATTTTGGTTACTGCTACTCTTGTCTTAACGTTCTTTATTAAATCAAGATAAGATTCAAATCTGACTTCGTTTTTCACTTCACTATAAAGACTTAATTTATTGCCAACTGAGGAGTTGAGTTTATCCTTGTTCAGACTTTTCGACCAATATTCTTGGTATTCTTTAAACAAAATTAGACTAAATCTACCCTGGTTACAAAAGTTTTTTGTCGCTTGCGGCACGATACTTCGGTGTCGCCCGCAAGGCGATCAACAGATCTTTGAAAAGTCTCTGGGCCCAGGGCAGCTGAGATCGCAAAATCCCGCCAGTGTCCTCGGCCTTTAAAGTCTTGGGGCCACACTCTAAGACGATTCTTATACCAATCATTTATTTTACGGAAATTAACTGAATTATGTAGTGTTGTTGAGCCACAACCCTTTTGGCCAGCGGGTTTGTTTTTGTCACGGAAGGCACACATAATTGCGTAAAAAAAAAATTGTGTTATCCCTACAAATAAACCCTGCCTGTAAGAAGTGCTAATGCCGCTTTCACCAAATGCAGGAAAGAGACAAATCCTCAGTACTCCATAAAATTTAGTCAAGATGTGAGTCCAAATGGTTCTTACATGTAAACCTTGTTCTATTCAAATTGATGAGAAATTTGAACATTAAATGTAAGCCGATGTGCATGTAGGACCATGGAGTCTACAGAAACACGGTGACAGCACTGCGCATATCATCTCCATTAGCTTATTACATAAAGTTAGGAAATACAACGTCATTTCGTAACTTTCCATCTAATGCTGCTCTAATGCTGCAGGGCGTAGCCCCTGGGTTTAGCTGAAAGAACATGTGTATTTTACGCCCTAAGGTGGAGTTTCCTTGAAAAACAAATTTTCTTTTTGCATGTAAGAGGGACGTAAAATCGTGTTCTATACTTACAGATAAGATAAGCCTCACATCAGGCTGTTGTAGAGCACCGATGCGACCGATTACACTGTATAATAATGTGTCAATATTGTAATGATATTTACCAATTATTGATTTTAAGGCTTTTTAAACTTGATCCCATTCAGTAAATCCTCAGACAAAAAATATTTTCTTCTTTTATTGTTACTGATAGAAGAAGTCCAAGGGAGAATCAAGCATCGATTTTCCGAACCGTGGGAAGATAGTGACCTGATTCTTGTGGTGGAGGGTGAGAGGATTCATGTTCATCGCCTGATACTGAGCATGAACTCACCTGTGTTCAAGGCCATGTTCAAATCACAGTTTAAGGAGGCTTCCTCAGAAGAGATTCCACTGCCTGAGAAGAAAGCAAATGAAGTATTAGACCTCTTGAAGCATGTTTACTCCAAACATTTTTTTGAAGAGTCAGTGGAAATCACTAGTAAGGCATTGCATTTTCTTCGTAGTATTTTAAAGGATAAAAAGTGACGTAGTCGAGCGCTTAGGGTGTGATATCTGGGTCCCCAATAGGTTTTTCTGGATGCGGGATTTCCCTTATTTGGAACTCGGGATTCGGGATTTTAGAGCAAAATCGGTGCGAGATTCGAGATTGACTACGGGATTCAAAGAAATTTGGGTCGGGATTGCAGGATTGAAAGACCGTTTCGGGAGACCCTCCTCTTAACAGTCTTAAGACAACAATGCATGTATTCTATGCACACAACAACAACAATAACTTTTATCTACAAGACTATAATTACTTACAGTATTGCAAAAGGTACGTAAAATAAAAACTGGAAGAAAAAGAAACAGAAATTATGATATTGATAACAGATAAGCAAGTGACATTATTCTTACGTGACTGTACACTCATTACTCAATAATGAATTATAATGCCAGATAACTATCCAGTTCGGAGTCAACAGTTAAATCAGGGTATAACTCTGTATTTGAGCGAAAAATTCATTAGTAAGTGTGAAATATTTTGGGAAATAGTGAATTGCAAAACTCAGTTTCATTGGAATCGCAAACTGGACGTAACCTTTTGTCATGAGGAGTTTGAATATATCTTCCAGTTTCGATCAAAGTTTATGATTCCTTACAATTACGCGTAATTGTGCCAAAGCCTTTCTATCAATTGTTTTTCTAGTTAGTTTTAAATAACTTGAAATTTCATAAAAATATTTAAACGTGTTATAAAACTCTAATTTCCTAGTATAATTTACGGTATAACGCCACTGGCTGATATATATTTTATCCAGCACTCTACTGGAATTAAATTAACTGCGAAAACCGTGGACGAATATCCTGCTGGTTATAAACGTTGGATCTCTAGAAAAGAGATCTAATCAGCCAAAATATTAAGAACCTAAAACGAGAAGTCCAAAGGCTACTGCAAAGCTGATCAGTACAACGTGTATTGTTTTTTCATAACAATATTTCGGCTGCCATACCAGCCTTCTTCAGGTTTACAGATGTTACAGCGATGTTACTAAATTTACCATAGGAATCACAATAGACACAATGCCGTGTGGCACGAAATTTTTGCGGGAGTTTAGTTTTTGCGGATTGGCGATTTTTTGTGTTTTGCGGGAACTAATTTTTGCGATAAGAACAGATTGGTATTTCGTGCTGGGAATTAATTTTTGCGATTTTCAGAAAGTACCCAGTACCCAGCATTGATAATATTTTGGTTTTTTATAGAGTACGTGCAACAAAAATACATATTTTCAAGCAATAAACCAGTATTTCGTTGTTTCTGAGTGAAAGAGACAAGTTGTGGTTGAACAGACGCGATTTCTTAGCACTTTATTTTTGTGTAGCGAATTTAAGTTAGAGAATATTTACTCTGGAGAAAATTTTTGCGGCAAAAATGTTTGCGGTTATTTTTATTGGCGGGAACTTATTTTTGCGGATCGCTGGAAAACCGCAAAAATCGCAAATATTAGAACCCGCAAAAATTTCGCGCCACACGGTATTATATAGATGGAGAATGTCGCAATAAAAATTGTTTAAAAGGAAGAGGCGGAAATGACGTACAACACAGAAAACTGGAAGAGAAAAAATAATAAGGATATGGATTACAATAACTCGTCACGGCGGCTTAGGCCATTAGACTTCCTTACGAACTGAGTCACGTGAAGAATGAATTTTCTTAGCCTGCGAAAACAGCCGTTTCTCCTCGCTCCTCGCCGCCGGGGGACGTTTCGCGCGAAGGAACGTGTGCGACTCAACGACAGAAATTCCATACTGATGACGTAAACCAATGTTTACAAAATAAATCAGGTAGTCATGGGGTTCCAAGTGCAAATTTGTTCAATTTTACGTTTTTCCTGGTCGATTTTGGGAAAGTGTGGTGTTCATCTGCGAACGAGCGCCAGCAAAACTGAAATGCTTCTTCTAGAGAAGAATATATTCCACAAATATTGACTGTTTTGTTATAGAATCATCGCGTTTACATTTGACCTTCGTAGCCTGACTCAGTTCGTAAGGCTAGGGAGTCGCATTTGATAGACAGGGTATGGTTTCGGGTCAAATGTCTTAAACAGGGTATAAAAAAATCGGAATTCTGTCTTAAACAAGGTAGGAAAACAAGCGATTTTTGTCTTAAACAGGGTCAGGGTATGAGGGGCCGGGCCGCACCTCCCCACCCAAGGATGTATCGAGTACCCCCCCCCCCCGCCTCAGGCGCTTAATACAGGTTTGATTGTAGGTAAATAACAAGTTCAAAAGTTGAGTTATTTTCTTAAAAAACGCTTGAGCGTTTATATAGTTTACTCCACAAAAATTCTGACTTAATTTTTGTGTTCATTTATAGTCGAAAACGTGGAACATCTTCTCAAGCTAAGCGATGAATACCAGGTCAAACACGTCTTTGACGCTTGCATCAATTTTGTTAAAAGTGAACGAATAGAAAATGAAACTGTGATGAAACTACGTAGAATGTCAGATTTGTATAATCTGGATACTGTAGCGAAAGGTTGCAAAGATTTTATTTCAAACATGAAATTGAAGAAGCTGTATAAAGCTGTTAAACCGGAACATCTTGACCAAGAAACCTTGCGACACTTCCTGGAACAAAGGATTAACCGGCTGGAAACGTTTTTTGATAAAATGTATCCTGAATTCATGGGAATGGTGGAGTGTTTGTTTTGGCTGATGCAAAAGTCCGAGCTGGGTGTGGGTTGGTGTGAACAACATGTTACCGACGGCAAATTTAAAAACCGACTTAGCATCGACAGTCAAGAGGTAAGAGAGTGTTCAAGGTGCCAAAGAATGCTCTATTCAGTATGGAGAGCAACCAGCTCAGGTAAGGGAAGGGGACAAATGTATTGGAACTACCATTATGGCGGACACCCCTGGCAGGGGTATCATTTCCAAAATTTGGAATCAACTATCAAGGAATTCTGCAAATTGAAAAATTGTTAAAGGGCACTATCCCGCCAATTCTTCAGCCCCCTTACGAGGCCTGTCGCCATTGAGCATGGCTTGAGGTTCTTGCAGCCTCGAGCAACGTTTTGTTTCTCTGAGCAATTTTTGAGCAAAATATAAGCGTAGACCTTTGAACCGCATAACAATGTTTCGCAGGCAATTAGTTAGTACGAGCATTTCTTTACAGCTAACTTCAAGCCATTTTTCCGGACCGATGTGTGATTATTGTGAAGCCGGAATAAAACATAAAGTTTTAAATTGACGTTTATATGAAAGTGTGCAGAATTTTGGTAGAAACGCATCAGTTTTGGTATTATAATAAGCAACTTTCCAGAATTTTACGAGCACAATCAGGACAGGCCTACCCCCTACTGACCCTACTGATCATGCCTCTTTACTCGGAGTAGTCAATCGATAAGAATCGGTATCGATTTCTCAATCGGTAAATCAATAAAAATCGGTAAATCTGATTTGATTGATATATATTATATTTATCAATCGGTAGAAATCGATGACACACTTGTTTCGTTCATCGAGTTATCTCGATCTTTACCGATTTTATCGATTTATATCCGAAGATACATTTGTTCATCTGTTTATCAAAAAATGAAACTGATTTCATGAAAACAGCAAATCTGTTTAGAATGAGATTCGAAGGATCAAGTAAAACATTTATCACCAAAATCTTCCCCAGGCCGCGGTTGTTCAAACGTTGGATAGCGCAATCCACCGGATAAATCACTATCCAGCGGGGAGCGTAGTTGATTTCCGTAATACTTATCCGCTGAATGGTGATTTATCTGTTGGATAGCGCTATCCACCGGATAAATCACTATCCAGCGGGGAGCGTAGTTGATTTCCGTAATACTTATCCGCTGAATGGTGATTTATCCGTTGGATAGCGCAATCCACCGGATAAATCACTATCCAGCGGGGAGCGTAGTTGATTTCCGTAATACTTATCCGCTGAATGGTGATTTATCCGTTGGATAGCGCTATCCATTTCCTAGTATAATTTACGGTATAACGCCACTGGCTGATATATATTTTATCCAGCACTCTACTGGAATTAAATTAACTGCGAAAACCGTGGACGAATATCCTGCTGGTTATAAACGTTGGATCTCTAGAAAAGAGATCTAATCAGCCAAAATATTAAGAACCTAAAACGAGAAGTCCAAAGGCTACTGCAAAGCTGATCAGTACAACGTGTATTGTTTTTTCATAACAATATTTCGGCTGCCATACCAGCCTTCTTCAGGTTTACAGATGTTACAGCGATGTTACTAAATTTACCATAGGAATCACAATAGACACAATGCCGTGTGGCACGAAATTTTTGCGGGAGTTTAGTTTTTGCGGATTGGCGATTTTTTGTGTTTTGCGGGAACTAATTTTTGCGATAAGAACAGATTGGTATTTCGTGCTGGGAATTAATTTTTGCGATTTTCAGAAAGTACCCAGTACCCAGCATTGATAATATTTTGGTTTTTTATAGAGTACGTGCAACAAAAATACATATTTTCAAGCAATAAACCAGTATTTCGTTGTTTCTGAGTGAAAGAGACAAGTTGTGGTTGAACAGACGCGATTTCTTAGCACTTTATTTTTGTGTAGCGAATTTAAGTTAGAGAATATTTACTCTGGAGAAAATTTTTGCGGCAAAAATGTTTGCGGTTATTTTTATTGGCGGGAACTTATTTTTGCGGATCGCTGGAAAACCGCAAAAATCGCAAATATTAGAACCCGCAAAAATTTCGCGCCACACGGTATTATATAGATGGAGAATGTCGCAATAAAAATTGTTTAAAAGGAAGAGGCGGAAATGACGTACAACACAGAAAACTGGAAGAGAAAAAATAATAAGGATATGGATTACAATAACTCGTCACGGCGGCTTAGGCCATTAGACTTCCTTACGAACTGAGTCACGTGAAGAATGAATTTTCTTAGCCTGCGAAAACAGCCGTTTCTCCTCGCTCCTCGCCGCCGGGGGACGTTTCGCGCGAAGGAACGTGTGCGACTCAACGACAGAAATTCCATACTGATGACGTAAACCAATGTTTACAAAATAAATCAGGTAGTCATGGGGTTCCAAGTGCAAATTTGTTCAATTTTACGTTTTTCCTGGTCGATTTTGGGAAAGTGTGGTGTTCATCTGCGAACGAGCGCCAGCAAAACTGAAATGCTTCTTCTAGAGAAGAATATATTCCACAAATATTGACTGTTTTGTTATAGAATCATCGCGTTTACATTTGACCTTCGTAGCCTGACTCAGTTCGTAAGGCTAGGGAGTCGCATTTGATAGACAGGGTATGGTTTCGGGTCAAATGTCTTAAACAGGGTATAAAAAAATCGGAATTCTGTCTTAAACAAGGTAGGAAAACAAGCGATTTTTGTCTTAAACAGGGTCAGGGTATGAGGGGCCGGGCCGCACCTCCCCACCCAAGGATGTATCGAGTTCACTATCCAGCGGGGAGCGTAGTTGATTTCCGTAATACTTATCCGCTGGATAGTGATTTATCCGTTGGATAGCGCTATCCAACGTTTGAACAACCGGGGCCTGATGGCTAATATTGGCCTTGAAGGTACGGAACGTTTGTAGCCTCTCAGCAGTGCCGGATGCAGACCTTGAGAAAAAAAAAATTCGGGCCTTCGGTCCTCAGTTTGGTCTTAAAATGGGGTGGGGGGGCCTCCCCTGGATCAGCCACTGCTCAGTTTTTCACGATTTAGACCTGCTACCCTTTCAAAATAACGTCGGTGTAGAATCCGGGTGTAGTTACATTCCGGAGTAGCCAACAGATAAAAATCGAAATCGATAAAAACCTTTAGCAATCAAGTGATTTTTATCGATTAATTAGGGACACGGTGAAAATCTATCTAGGGAGACTGCGCTCAGCCTGAATTTCAGACATTCGTTTGACTTGAGGGGCGATGTCCGCTGAAAATCAGGCTAGGAAATCTACTAAACCTTTATCTATTGTATTTCTCGACACTTGATACTTGTCGGCTTGTGAGAACTGAATGTGTATAATTAGACCAAACCGTTATTATTATAATGTACAAAATAAAGTGTTTTAGAGAGGAACTTCCGTGTGTAATAGTCCCATATTCCATTTTCATGTTTATCAGTGATCAGTTGTTACTCACGGATATGTTTTCTCAGCTGTACTATCTAACTTATACCAAAAAACAACGATGGTGGACTTACGTTATCATGAAAAATATATAATAAAGATTTGTCACGGTAATTAAGTTTATCGATTTTCACCAGTTTCTAATATCAATAGATAAAATCACTTGATTGTTACTGATTTTTATCGATTGACTACTCCCAGCTCTTTAGAGATACTTAGGAGTTGTTTGTTTTGTCTCCACAGTAATAGCGATTCTGCTTATTCTTAGCTTCTTAAATTGTTTTTTTTTATAACCACTGAATACATGTAAGAACCATTTGCTTTAAGGGCGAATAATCGTCTGGTTTTCATATTAACAGTAATAGTTTGAAGTGACACTTGTCTTTCCGAAAAGGAGAATGGATAGGATAGGATAGGAATCCAATCAATTGAAATGAACTGAAGGAAACTGTACGAACACTAATACAGTTACAAAGTCAATGATTACTGAATGTCCCAAATTATTTTTACAAGTTAAAGAGAAATAGTAAAACGTATAAAGTCTGGGTATGTTTCACAGGGTTTTAAGGTCGAGCCAGGTCAAGCGTACCCCAAAGACTGCCGAATTCATTTTTTGAAAATCAAGATCCGTTTCTTTGCTAACCATTCACCGGCTTCGATCAGGCTTGGTTTGTTTGTTTTTTCCGTTTATTTGCTTTTTCAAGAAAGACTTAATAGAGATCAGATATGAGGAGGGCATGCCTGCAGGCTGCCTTCTTTGCCGGCAAAAGATTCATCTCTTCATTCTTGCATAAGGAATGAGCCGTGAATTCACCCACATGGTATAGTTAAAGCTTCTCTCTTAGCTCAGCTTTCACTGTGAACTTGATATAATTGTATTCATAGCTTTAGAGCCGATCCTTTCAAAGTGTAAGAGATTTTCAGCCGAATCTGACCGAATACAGAGAAGTTGTAGCCTTTAATTAACGGCTCGTTTTAATATCCACCTGATAAATGTATAGCGTGTGGCACAAAATTTTTGCGGGTTCTAATTTTCGCGATTTTTCCAGCGATCCGCAAAAATAAATTCCCGCAAACATTTTTCCCGCAAAAATTTACTCAAGAGTAAATATTCTCTAACTTAAATTCGCTACAAAAAAATACGGTTCTAAGAAATCGTGGCTCTTCAATCGCAACTTATCTCTTTCATTCGGAAACAAAACAGTATACAACGCAATACTGGTTTATCGGTTGAAAATATGTATTTCTATTGCACGTAGTCACCAAAAACGAAAATATTTTATTAATGCTAGGTACTGAGCTTTCTGAAAATCGCAAAAATTAATTCCCAGCCAGAAAAACCAATCTGTCGTTATCGCAAAAATTAGTTCCCGCAAAACACAAAAAATCGCCGATTCGCCAAAATAAACTCCCGCAAAAAGGTTAAAACCACCCATTAGCAGCAACGACTTCCAAACAGAGACCTGATTTTATCAGTTTATTGTTAAGAGCCGTGCGCCTGGCCTGGCTTTGAAAAACTCACAGTTCTTGAGTTAACTACTAAATCACCTGATAACTCATGAAGTGCATGCGAGTTACTGACTTGCGAATTAAAATTCTCTAATGAAATAGCTAATCATGTTTAGTGAGTTTTTGTTACCTTGTTTTTCCTGAGAAACTGGAGCTAAGCAGCGTTTTATCAGAAATAAATCACGCAATTTAAATTTCTTTTGTACGTTCTCCGTATTATTAGATGAACAATTTTTTTATAGTTTATGGAAGCTGTTACTTAAGAGGGTACACGTCCATTTTTAAAAATGTGTGAAGGAGGTTTTGTGAACCTGTCAAAAGACAGCAGGTACAGGGGCGGATCCAGGATTA